CCAGAGAGGGAGAGCAACTGTGTGCTGAAGACCTGGGGGGCAGGGGAGTAGGATTGCAAGGAGGGGATTGTAACCATGGCAATGAGACGATATACGATAGAATGAATGTAAAACTAATGTTCTCCCATGTAAACTATCACATAACTCACAATAAATCATTTAAGAAATAAAAAAAGAAGTATCTTCTGTTCTTCTAGCCGCTCCAGGCTGGTTTGCTCGTCCTTGTAAGTGGGAGTTTTCCCATCTCTGGAGATCTGGATGTGGAGAACAATATTTTATAAATATTAAGTATTTGAGAATATGTTAAAATGTTCTATCCTGTTTATTTTAATTTAAAAAAAAGATGTTATCTTGAAAACTCTTATAAAATAATTCACGTGATTTATAGTAGGAGAAGGTGGCGCTGTGTGTTAACGTGCTGGACTGCAAGATCAGTTTGAATATTAAGGTCGGTGGTTCAAACTCACCAGCCACTTCTTGGAAACCCTGTACAGGGTCGCTATGAGTTGGAACCGATTCAATGGAACTTACCAGCAGCAACAACAAAGTAGAAGAAAGTGAAAGTTACCCATAATCCCATTCATCAGAAATAAACACTGTTCACTATTTTGACGTTTGTCTTCATATTGCAGTTTGGTTCTGCTGGTTTAATAGACTTAATAAGTATACGAGCAACTCCTTTTGTATGATTTTAATTTTTTTTTTTTAAGAGGTCTGATCCTACCACACGCCAAATGCTTGTTGGTACCATTCTTCATGAAGTATTTCAAAAAGCAGTAAGTGATAGCTTTGCTCCAGAAAAGCTACAAGAACTTGCATTTCAAACTGTTCAAGAAATAAGGCACCTGAAGGAGATGTAAGTATTATGAGAAGAGCTATACATCTAATTTGTTTTTCTGGAATCTGTAAAGTATTTGGCAATTACCCTGTTGCCATGGAGTTGAGTCCAACTCACTGTGGAACAGAGTAGGACTGCCTCATAGGATTTGTGGTGCTATGGGTTAATGCGCCAGACTGTAAAGCCGTTTGAATTGCAAGGTCGGTGGTTCAAGCTCACCAGCTGCTTCTGGGAAACCCTATACAGGGTCGCTATGGGTCGGCACCGACTCGACAGCACTTCACAACAGCAACAACAATTGTTTACAGGAGCAGATTGCCTTATCTTTCTCCTGTGGTACAGTTGGTGGTTCGAATCTCTGGCTATTTAGGTTAGTAACCGAGCAAGTACCTGCTGCACCATCAGAGCTTTGTAATGGGCAGTTAGGATATAATACCAGAATGGAGATTCCAAGGTTGTAGTATCCTCTTGAACCTGAAGTGTTTCCAAAATTGCACGGCAGAGAAATTTTAGCTAAAAGTATCTGAACAATTGCAGGTGCAAAACTGGCTCCTTTTCTGATCTCTGAGTGAATGATAGTTAATGAAGTTGTTCTGGAAATGATGTGACATGTAGATCAAATGAACCTGGTTTCAAATTCTAGCTGTAGACTGATAAACTTACTTGGAATGTCTGTAAAAGTTAGTGATACCCATTTTGCAGATTTTTTTTGTGGTGATTGTTGGTAACATAACACATAAACCCAGAAATGGCTAATAATGGGCTCTTTACAGATGACTGTCTACAGAGATTGGCATGGCATGCCATCTCTCTTGTTTCTTCCTTGACTCACATTGCCGAACACCTTTTTCACAAAAAATGTCTTTATTAGTGATGATTTTTCTTTCTGTAGTAGTTGACAGAAGCTGAATGAATTAGTTTTTCCAGGTAACATACTCTGAATGAATTAGTTTTTATGGTAACATACTCTGATTTATTCCAGTGTTCCACACAGCTGATGTACTAATGACATACAAAGAAGTGGTTTTTGAAACCTGCCATATGCCAGACACTGTGCTAAGTGCTTTTAGAGGTTTTAGATAATCTGATAACCAACACCCCAAACCCACTGCATCTAGTCAGTTCCAACCCAAAAGGACCCTATAGGACGGAGCAGAACTACTTCAGGGTTTCCGAGATTACATTTGATGGGATCAGATAGCCTCATTGTTCTCCCTTACCCTCGGAGTGGCTGGTAGGTTTAAACTGCAGAACTTGGGTTAGCAGCCCCACTATGCCACCAGGGCCCATTACTTGGCCTGTGTTGTTGTTAAGTCCTGTTGAGTCAGTTCTGGCTCAGAACAACCCTGTATAGGGTTTCCAAGGAGTAACTGGTTGGTTTGAACCACTGACCTTTTGGTTACCAGTCCAGTGCTCATCCTACAGCACCACACCAGGACTACTTGTTGGCATATGTGGTTAAGTGCTGTCGAGTCGGTTCTGACCCATAGTGACCCTTCGTACGTTTTCCAAGTCGCTCCTGGTGAGCTTGAACCGCGGACCTTGTGGTTCAAACCAACTTTGCCAGCCAGTGCATTAACCCACAGCCAGCACTATATAAATGTTCATTATGGTCATCATACCTGATTGAATTTCCTATCACAAGCCACATATTTTATTCACATTGTTTTGTTTAATCTTTAAACGAACTCTAACCTGAAATAGTTATTATTTCCATTTTTTAATTGTGCGACCTGAGGCTCACACATCTAGTAAGGAGAGAGTTAAGATGGAAACCTAGGTGTCATCTGACCCTCTACCTGCTGTGTTCCTAACACCTTACAGTAGGTACTAAGATTGTGAAGCTTATTCTTAAAGAAGCAACGGGGAGTAAACCACCTTGAGAATAAGTGTTCAATAGCATTTCCCCACATTTTTGGTCTCAGGACCCATTTTCCCTAAAAAAAATTAAGTACCTTGAAGAGCTTTTGTGTATGTGAATTATTAGAATGTTTATTAACTCATAAAAAAATGAAATCAATTGTATGTTAACATATATAATATTTTTATGAAAAATAACAATTTGTTAAAAAATTGAGTGAAATGAAACCAACAGTGAGATGTTCTCTTACACTGGCATAAAAAAAGTTCATAAAAACAGAAAATAATAAATGCTAGCGAGGGTGTGGGGAGACAGGGACCCTCCTCCATTACTGGTGGGATTGTAAAATGGTTTAACCACTCTGGAAAATGGTGTGATACTTCCTCAGAAAGCTGGAATTAGAAATAATTTATGGCCCAGCAGTTCCTCTATTTGGCATATAGCCGTAAGAAACAAGAACCAGGACACAAGTAGATATATGTACACCCATGTTCATCATAGCGCTATTTACAATAGCAAAAAGATGGAGACAGCCTAAGTGGCCTTCAATGGGAGAATGGATAAAAAAAAACTTTGGTACATGCACACAATGGAATAATATGCGACATTGAAGGATAATCATTGATCTGCGAAACACAGATGAACCTGGAGGACATTATACTGAGTGAAATAGTTAATCACAAAAGGACAAATAACTGTATGAGACCTTGTAAAAACTTAAAAGGTTTTCATACTAAACAAACAAACAAAAACATTAGTGAGATTAGTGGCCTAGTTTTATATTTTTGCCAGCTTAAAAAAATATCTTAACAACATACGATAGCTGAAGTCTCCTATCTGCTTCAGCAGTTAATCTATTGCTTCATTATGTGTCCTTTAGCTTCAGAAAACTCCACTGCCCACTTATGAGAGTATGAGAGTGAAAGGGGCAAATAATATATCTAAGTTGTATTACTCGAAGGGTCCTGCTATAGTGCTGTTGAATAAGCACTGGACTGTTAATTGCAAGGTCAGCAAATCATATCCACCAGCCATTCCTTGGAAACCCTGTACAGAGTTGCTATGAGTTGGAGTTGACTTGATGACCTTAACAACTACAGCAACACCAGGATTTGGTTTTGTTGTAATAGTTTTGATTTTGTGGATACCCTGAAAACTAAGAGTAGATTTTGTTGCTTGCTGATTTCTGACAGAAAATAATGTTCCTGTAAATTGTTCTTTGTAAGGCAAATCTTTTCCCTACTTTTAAATTTGTATCTTTTGTTACTTGGTTTTAGAAGCAGCATTGCTAATAGTTTCTTCTTTGTCCTAAAGATGTAACTGGGACCCTTGTGTTTAGATGTGAGATGATAGAATTTGGAGCAAATAATCTGAAATTTCATGTGATATTACTGTTATACAATAAAAACAAATTAGACTTCTTTGGATTTTTTGTTCTATATTTAATATCTCTCATTTTGGCAGGTACCGCTTAAATCTGAATCAAGGTGAACTAAGGCAAGAAGTTGAGGAGTATCTTCCTTCATTTTCAAAGTGGGCTGGAGATTTCATGAATAAGGATACTTCAACTGACTTCCCTCAGATGGAGCTCTCTCTGTAAGAACCCCCTTATGTTTGTATGTAGTTGCTATGTGCTGTCTTGTTGGTTCCTACTCATAGTGACCTGGTATATGGTTTCCGAGGAGCGGCTGGTGGGTTTGAACTGCTGACTCTTGTGGTTCGCAGTCCAGTGCTTATCCTACAGCACCACACCAGTAGTCCTATGATTGGATAGTGTTCATTTTTAAGTCTGGAATTGTATTCTGTATACCAAATGAAAGCTTTTTTAAACATTGAATTATCACAAGTGCTATTTTATTTGCTTATTTTATAAATTTAGGTGCTGAGTCTCTTTCCAAGGCAAAAAAGAATCTAATGAATATTATTGGGTGCAGTGGTTGATTCTGACTTGTAGGTCCCCCTTGTGACGGAGTAGACCTGCCCCATAGGGATGGATTTCCAGGCTGTCATCTTATGGGAGCAGATGGCTGGGGCTTTTCCCTGTGAAGTTACTGGGTGGGTCCAACTGCCAACTGTTTGAAAAAGCAGCACACTGCTTAACCATTTGCACCACTAGGGCTCCGTATCTAATGAGTACAAAATTCTACTTTATTTTAATAATATCTTCTAAGTTTTGTATGAAAAAATATATTTTTTGAAGTTCTGTTGTGTCGCTGCAGGCTACGCACTGGACTGCTAACTTCAATATCGGCCATTCCAACCCACCAGCCACTCCTCGGAAACCCTATGGAGGGTCGCTATAAATCAGAACCAACTCCGTGACACTTAAAAATAACATACATATTTTATAAAATAATAAAATTATAAATATTTTGGAGTTCATGTTTTCATTTGATACTTTAATAGCTATTTCTCTGTTACTGTGATAAGTAAGGAGGCTTCAAAAAGCTTGTAGAAAATGGAATTGAAAGATAATGGAATTTTTCCATGAACTTGTTTGCTTTTGATTCTCATGATTCCACTGACAGTCTCTTCAAGGGAGTCTAAGTTTTTACTGTTAGGCACTTGGAAACTCTTCCAGCTTGTACTCATTGTCCAGTTCCAAAAGTGCTTGCACATTTTAGGTGTCTATTATATGCATAAGGAGCTCTGCTAGCATACTGGTTACGAATTGGGCCGCTAACCTCAAGGTCGGCAGTTCGAAACTACCAGCTGCTCCACGGGAGAAAGATGAGGCTTTCTGCTCCCATAAAGATTGACAGCCTTGGAAACCCTGTACAGGGTCGCTATGAGTCGGAACCGACTCCACGGCACATAACAACAACATTATATGCATGCAAAACCTGGACAGTGAATAAGAAAGACCATAGAAAAATTGATGCCTTTGAGTTATGGTGTTGGAGAAGAATATTGAAAGTGCCATGGGCTGCCAAAAGAACCAACAGATTTCTGTTGGAAGAAGTGCAGCCAGAGTGCTCCTTGGAGGCAAGGATGGCCTAACTTCATCTCATACTTCAGACATGTTATCAGGAGGAACCAGTCACTGGAGAAGGATATCATGTTTGGTAAGGTGGAGGCTCAGAGAAAAAGAGGAAGACCCCCCAACGAGATGGACTGGCCAAGTGGCAGCATTGATGAACTCAAGTGTGGCAACAGTAGTGTGGTTGGCCCAGGATCGGGCAGTGTTTCGTTCTCCTATTTCTCAGCGACCCTCTGCTTTACCAAGTATGATGTCCTTCTCCAGGTGCTCGTGCCTCTTGTCGTCCTATTAACATGAACCAAGTGTGTGAGATGATGTCTCAGTACCTTGCTTCCAAGGAGCATTCTGGCTGTACTTCTTCCAAAACGATTTGTTCATTCTTCTGGCAGTCTATGGTGTAGTTAGTATTCCCCAACCCCGTAATTTAAACCCATTGATTTTTCAGTCTTCTGAAGTTCTGTTCCACATTGTTCTCCCATTCTCTCTGGGTCCATCTGCTGAGGCCCTGGTTAGAGTGGTCGGTAGTGATAGCTATCTTTGAGTCTTTACTTTTCTTCTTTTTCCTCCAGATAGATGGTGGTGGTTGGTGGGGGACACTGTCCCATAACTTCTGATTCGAAAGCTTTCCAAGGCTTTTGATCTTTATAGAAACAGAAAGCCTCATCTCTCTCCCAGTGAGTGGCAGGTAGCTTCAAACTGCTAACCATTCTGTTAGCAACAGTCCAGCAATAGCCACTGTGCTACCCAGGCTCCTTTCTAGATGAATATGGTAGCAACTTGCAAGCTCTTAAGATCCTAATTCTACTCACTAAAATGTGGTTAAGTGCCTTCAACCCTGTATAAGGTTCCCAAGGAATGGCTGTTGAGTTTGAACCTCTGACCTTGCATTTCAAACTGACCTTGTGATCCAGTGCTTATCCTAAAGCACCACACCAGAACTCCGCTCACTGAAATTGTCTCTAGAACATTATTTACTTTTTAAAAAGATCAATGTGCCTAAAAGGGGTTCTTGAACTTGCCTAGTGAAATAGGCCTCTTGCAGAGTCTTTGCAGTGTATAGGACCTTAGGTGGAATTGTGAGCCCCATCCAGAACCTTCTGAGATGGGACATGCCCACCAGAAAGGACAAGCAGACCAGCCTGAAACAGCTAGAGTGACAGAAGAT